GAGGCCAGGCAGCTCTGTTTCTTATTTCAGATAAAACGGACTGAAAGTTACAACGCACCTCTCAGATGCGAAGTCTAAATCTAAACAAATAATAATGCTTCACATAACAGTTATAATTTTCAGAGCATCACTGTGAAATAGGTATTGTGCACATTTGGGAAATGATGAAACTAAAGAACAGAGAAGTTTACATGATTCAATCAGTATTTCGCAGGATCCTGGTGCAGGAGCTGAAAGTCTTTCCTGACGCTGCCTTCACCTCTTCTCCAGCGTTCCTCGCTCCCGAGACACAATCCCGTGGTAACTAACTAGAAGCGCTGTATTTAAGAGATCTTAGATCAAATATGAGTTTTCCTGTACACTGTCTCAAAGCAGTTACCTCGGGTGGAAACGCTACTGTGCCTGTAACGTGCCTGCGGAAAGCTCCTGCCTGAAGGGCGATAAACAAGAGTTACAGCCCAAACTTTGGGATGAAACTGGCTGCGCACGCTTAACTAACGACCGTTAGGTTTAAAGTTAGATCTTTATTCAGTGCTCATGAAAAGGATGTGCAATGTTAATCTTTCTCGGACAAGAAGAGGGACCAGTAAGCGCTACTTGTAACAAACACCTAAGCGCTCTTCCCTGTTTTAGCATGTTCTGCAAGGAGAAGACATTTCTGTGCAGCTGTCCATGGTTTTAAGTGCCTTAATTAAATGTTTTTAATGCAAGCATAGTTGAGTTTGCATTGGTTAAAAACTGGTCACTGCAAGTTCTGCATTCGTTATTTGGCAACTAAAACACAGAGTCATCATACATTTCTGTTCACTGGTGTTTGAGAATAAGTCATAGAAACACATATCAGAGCAAATTCTAAAACCCCTGCACTTCCGATTTGCTTTTAGTGAATATTTTCCTAAAATTCCTTTCTGTAAACAAACTCATCAGAAAGAACACTGAAACTGCTACCAAAAATGAAATAATTTTGAACAAAGTTGAAGCAAGTTTATTTTGAAAGTTATCATCAGCGGCCACAAATAAGCAGTCGCAACATTCAGAAAGATTGAGAGACCAAATGAATGTGACATCCTACAAAAACTGAATAGCCAGATGTATTAAATGTGCCTTTGTGCCAGATACAATCTCTGACAGAAGAGCAAAATCTGAAATTTGTATTATTCATACTGCTCTGTACTAGCTCCCCCAGGCACATTTAGAAGACGTTTACTTAATGGTGCAAACAGTATGGCCACTGACAACAGAATACAGAAATACGTTGTTAAAGGACCAGGCTGTCCCATAGCATGACAGCATTAATAAATACAGACAAAAAAGAAATGTGTCCATTGCTGCTTTTCCTGTCTGCCTAGGAACTATTTCATTTTTCCTTTTGTTGTGATATAAAGTTTTGTGTTTGATAATTACGAGATCTTAAAAAAAATAGGAATTTAACTAGCAGTTATTTCATTCTCTGTTATCACGGCTATAATTGTTTTTTTCCAAAGCATGAAAATAATGAAGATGCAATTACAAAGAGTGCAGAATGAGAACATTTTTGACTCATCAGAGCCAAATGGAATATTTATTTCCTCAAGCCACTTAGGCCTCATTAGTACTCTTTATGAGGTTTTCGCAATATAATTTCTGTTTACAGATTAGACTTATGTTAGTTAAGATTCATAACGCCAAAGAAATAACGGGCATTAAACCCATTTTATATGTAGGTAAATAAAATTAAATCCCTATCCGCAGGTTACACACTTATCATTGTCAGAGTGAGGCAAGAAACCCAGAGGCCTGCAGTTCTGTTTTTGCACATTCTTGTATTTTGGGGGTACTGTTTGTAACTAGCCAAACTACTCCTCATATTGCAATTAAATAATTCAAGAAAAATGGTTTAAATGAGTATGCTTTATGTTAAAGCTGAGACTAATGCTCATGATGAGAAATGTGCTGTATTGTCTCTT